TGTAGTGTGTATGTTCTGATTCTACTCAGAACACATACACTCCATTCCTGTGACACAACTGTAGGAAATGGCTTTCGCCATCCCCTATACTGAGTTCTGACCTCGTCCCTCTCACTGGACCACAAGCACTGGTTTCTGTCAGCCTCTGTGATTTCTAAGCTTGTGGGACAAGAGGTTGGGCTGCTATAGAGAGTTTATGCAAGGCGTGGAGCAGAGGCTGGAGTTTTGAGAATGCCTTCTGCATCTCTGGATCCAAATGAGCCTGAAACCCGACACACTCCAGATTGTCGCGTCCGCCTCGACCAGCAAGGAAGACACAACACCAAGCTCTTCTTCAAACTGTTTATTCAGGCCTTGTCAATCTGTTTCTTTTGTTCTTCTACCCCTAGGGAGAGCCCGTCCCAGCCTTATATAGGTCTCAGTCCACCAGCCACCATGCGCCACATGGGATTCCCGGATAGGTACACGTATGCCTTAGCAAGCCAAAATCTAAAGCCAAGCCAAATAAGGTGTTGTTTAACACAGAGAGCACTCGCCATCAGGAGGGCGGGGGGGGGGGGGGGGGGGGGGGGGGGGGGGGGGGGGCAGAAGCCAGCGCCATCTTAAGGATGCAGCTCCACGCAGCTCTCTACACCAGATGTCCCCAACTTATGACTTAATTGTTCTCTTTTTGATTGTTTGAGTTCAATTTTCATCTCTGTCAGGCAAAGACTCCTGATATAGTCGTAAATGCTATTTGAGTAGATCTCTAAATTGTGGTATATGCGGATTTCATATTTTACTATTCCCAGGATTTTTTTTTATCTACTTTCTGCTTTCATCAGAAGAACTGTGCCCACCTCCAATCCTTCTGCCTGATTAAGTCTGACAATTTGTCCAAGCTAATAAGAAACAGGGTGTGATTCAAAAACACATTTAACTGGTTGTACAATCTGATGGTCATCTACATCAAACTTCCTCTCCACTTGGAGGTGCAATGTTCTCAAGGGGATGGAATGATGGCTTAGTGGTCAAAGGCACTTGCTGCTCTTGCAGAGGAGCTGAGTTCGATTCCCAGTGGTGGCTTCTAACTCCAGTTTTGGGACATGGCACCCTCTTCTGGCCTCTGCAGACACCACTCAGGCATGCAGTACACATACAAAAATGCAGACAAAACAGTCATACACAAAATAAATATAAGTAAATCTTGTGAATCTTTCTGTCTCAGTGTATCTCTGATATTAAGATAAAAGTCAATAAACAAAAAAGGTAAATTTAGCAAATTTCACTTTTAGTACCTTGTGCAGATCAGATCCTTTCTGAGAATTACCACAAAAGTGCGCCATCTAAGACCTCCCTACCCAACCCTGCCTCAGTCAGTCACACCGAGTCCTCTTCAAGAAGGGAACTCAGAGTCAGGCCTGACGATGCAGTTTTGAAATCCCAGCTACTCAGCAGACCGAGAAGGGAAGTCTACAAGTTCAAGACCAGCCTAGGCAACTTAGTGAGACTCTATCTCAAGAGAAAAAGGATGTAGTTCAGTGGTAGAAAACCTTGGTTTCCCCTTCCACAAAACATGAAACTGCATGAGGTAAATAAAGGAATGGGACTTGCATTCCAATGGGGAAAATTTATAAACAACTAAGTCTCTTACAAGCCATAGTTAGGAATGTGCTACTGTCAGTACAAACGGTGGTCTGTAGAGACTGAAGAAGGAACAGCCTTCGTGGGTAGGGGCACAGCAGGGAAGCAAGGCCCCCCGAGGAAGGGAAGAGCTGACCTATGTCTCAGAGCATGAGAAGGATGTCTCAGAGAAGGATGGCACCGAGAGGTCACGTTCCAAGTCAAGGCTGACCCTAGAATGGTGGTTCACAACCTGTGAGTTCCGACCCATGGGGGGGGGGGGGTCAACCGACCCTTTCACAGGGGTCACCTAAGAGCATCTGCATATCAGGTATTTACACTGCAATTCATAACAGTATCGAAATTACAGTTGTGAAGTAGCTAGGAAAATAATTTTATGGTTGGAGGTCACCACAACATGAGGGACTGTGTGCAAGGGTCACAGCATTAGGAAGGTTGAGAAACACTGCCCTAGAAAGTGAGGCCACCCCTTGTGTAGACAGAGTTCCTGTTCTCGCAGCACTAGGCAGCTGGGGGAGAACGACCAAACAGGGTTTGCACTGTAGAGTGTTTTGCATAAAGGACCTAGGGCTAAGGATGGGGTACCCTGGCCGTATCTTCAGCAGCCAGGGACATCTGAAACAGGATCTGGGGGTAAGAAAAAAAAACTTAGAAGGGAGCACTCTGCGGAGTCCTCGGGGGCAGCGGATGCAGGTGCAAGACAGTGAAAAACTTTTTTCTCGTGTTTTACTCACTGAAGGCCCCAACACACTCGAATGCAGGAAATGTGGCCGTAAGACAACAGGGCTGCCACATCCAAGAGGAACCCGCTTTCCTCTTCACAGCCCGAGAGTCCCGCTGTTGCCGAGTGTACTACCGGCGACCCACCGCTAGGGGGAGGGGGCCCGCCCGCAGACGTGTTCCAACTCTGACCTGTGTTGGTTGTAGAACTTTCTCTCGGGAGACCGTTTTAAAGGAAATTACTGTGTGACTATTGAGAAGGAAGGTTATCTAGAGGTTTGTGTTCGAAATGTACTTACCAGATTCCCAGAGTCCTTGAGCCCCAAAGTGAAACTCTTCTCAGACTGATGCGTGACTTGGAGTTCCGTTTTCTGTGTTGATATTTGCACTTGCCTTTTTTTGGTTTTGGTGTATTGTGTTTTGTTTGTTTTTCAAGACAGGGTTTCTCTGTGTAACAGCTCTGGCTGTCCCTAGAACTCACTTTGTAGGCCGGTTGGCCTCGAACTGAAAGAAATCCATCTGACTCTGCCCCCCCACCCCCCACCCCACCCCACCACCACCCCCACCACCCCACCTCCCCCCCACCCCCGCAGTGCAGGGATTAAAGGCGTGTGTCACCACACCTCGCTCGTCTTTAAAATGAATTCAGGTTTGCTACGATTAGGACATAATTTCCAAAATGGTCCTAAATATATTTTTGTCGTGTGTACTACATATTTAGTACTGTTCTGTTCTCAGTACTGTCGTGTGTACTAACTACATATTTAGGTGAAGCACTGTTCTCAGCATTGACGATTGTAAGATCAAAGTATCGATCAACTCTGAGAAACTCTTTAGAAGCTCTGTATCCTGCAGTAACAAATCATCAGCCAATAGTTAATTCTTTATGTAAAAGTTATTACTTAGCAAATTTGCTTCCATCTTTAGGAAATGATAAAATTTTATATGTATACCAAAGAGTTATTTTAAAATAAGTTTCCTTATAAAATATTATTAGCAGGGGATTGATTAATATACCAATTTTATATACTTAGCCATGAAAATTTCCAGTCGGGAAAAGCAGCCCCAGGACTTGAGACCTAGAAGGGGCTCTTTCCAGTTGTTTCCTCTAGAGGGCGCCAGAGGTCTTCTGCCAGCCAGGGAACGTTACCGCCAGGCAGAGCAGGAGCCGCTTCTGGAGACCTGGTTCACATTGCTGACTTCAGCCTTGTTTCATCTTAGTTTCAGGTAGGAGCAGACAGACAGGACGAAATCACAAAGAGAGATGTGGATGCAGCCAGGACACGTCAGGGTTCAAGAGTAGTTTAGAAGGTCTTCAGCACAATCTCTGCCTTTGCCCTGTGTTTCCCTTTGCACATCTCTATAAAAACTCGGTTACTTTAACAGGACTTACGTTCCTATGGCCCCTCGGGATTTCTAACAGATTTTCCCAAGTATTATGTGTTGGGAGCCTCGGACTTCTGCGAAGCCAGCCGAGCAGGCACAGTGGCCTGCACGGCCTTTGGCAAGCAGGGTGGTTTTTACTTGTGACACCGAACGAGTGGGGAGAGATCCTCCATTCAGCTAACCCAGAACCAGGTTCACTTTGTGTGTGACGCGGAGGAGGTAGCAGAGGCCACACTGCTCCCCAGCCCAAGGAGCCAGTTTCTAAGTTAGATGCTTTGGGGTGGGGCCTGAGAATGAGCCTTCTCAACCACCAACCTCAGATGCTACCAGTCCAGAGACTGAGAACGGCTTTAACACTTCCCACATGTTTGCTAATTTGATCCACGCCCTGTAACTGGCTGGGTGGCATGCCTGCCTATGGAAGAACTCACCTCCATGGCCAGGCTGTTTCACTGCTGAGGAAGGTAAGTAGGAATAAATACCAGATTCCAGGGCCACAGTGACAGAGCTTGGTACTGTCCGGAGAAGGTCCGGGTCTTCCGCTCCTGATCAATGCTAGCTCCTGAGGCTAACGATCTTTCAGTGGTTTCTTTAATAGCAGGCAGGGATGCTTGGCAAATGTTACTTGGAAAATGCTTAACATTGAATATGGGGGTGCTGGCCCTTGAGTCTACAACTGTGGGACCTGCCCCCATTATAGCAATGCCATGGTTTCCCCTCTGGGGTTCAATGGTCTTCTGCCCCTGCAGCAACCTAGGAAAGTGTTTCCTCCACACAGGCTACTTAGGAAACAGGTCTATTTGAGCTTTACATGGAGCATAATGTAAGGAAACAGGAAACGAGAGCCCTCCCTGTTTTCATCTATGGCATGGCGTAGAGATAAAAATATCCTTGAGTGTACCTAAAGTTAGCAGAGGAGAAACAGAAAATGCCAAATTGCACCTCTTTAGAATTGTCTGTCTAAATGCTGGTGGGTTTCCAAAAATAGTGAAGTTCAGTCTGCTTTAACAGAACTATTTTTTTTTTCTTTTTTAACATTGTCTCGGTGAGTAACTAACTGCTGGGGCTATAAATAAGATCCTGGCTACAAATCTGGTCTCCGGCTTAGAGGAATTTATAGTGAAGTGGAGAGGAGCAAAATGTTCATAATTAACTACAGTATCATACCAGGCAAATGGAAGTCCACATGCATTGTGCCGGGGGATGGAAGAAGAGAGAGAGGGAGGGAGAGAAGGAGGGGGGGAGGGAGGGAGGGAGGATGCCAGTTTTCACTCAGAGAGAATGGATGACAGCTGCAGAGGAAGGGGTGTCGCCCTGTCTCTAGGTGACAGGAAGACCTGGTTTGTTTACGTCTCCCAGACAGTGAAAGCCACGTGGGAAAAGACACAGGTAGGTGCCTTCCCATGTGGACCGTGCAGAGCGTGAGTACGCTGAGTTCCACATCAGTGTCACTGAGAAGCAGAGCAGTTCTGAGCTGGGGGAGACCTGCACATGGGTCAGAGCCACGCTACAGACTGTGGAAAGGCAGCAGTCATGGGTAAGGGGAGAACAGTGGGGCTCGGAACAGTGAGAAAGACACGCCCAGGCTGACTCGGTTAGTAAGCCGTTTGGGGAACATGGGCTATCTCTGCTGTAACAACTGATTCTTCAGACTTTAGTTTTCTTACCTGTGAAACAGCGGTTGCTGGGTAGTGAGCGCCCTTGCCTCCTCATGCTCTGTGATTCTGGAGGCCTCGTTTTCTACAAGAATAACGCTGGATGGCTTAAGTCACCTCCTCACCCTTCTTTTATTATTATTATTATTATTATTATTATTATTATTATTATTATTATTTCTTTGGGAGTTACACATCCTGCTCATTTCCCAGTCCTTCTGTATCTGCCCTCCACCCTTGTAGCCTCCCCCACAAAAGAAAAAGAAAAACAATAACAGATAAAACTTCTTACCAGCCCGTCTAGGCAACAACCTGCTCCTCTATCAATCCCCATCTTCTGTCACACCCGCCGGAGTTGCCGAGTCTCCAGCTCTGCCATACATCTTTCCTGCCCCTCCATCATACGTTCGCTGGCCGTAGTGGCATTGGGAGCTGTGGTGTGTCACACTGTAGACCCTTCTGTCCAACAGCTTTACTTCCGAATATTCAGTGCAGTGCGTCATTGGTCTGGTTCAAGGCTTCTGGTTTCTGCTACTTTATCAATACTGGACCCTCTCTGAGATCTCAGATATCCTGCTGATGCCCAAGGTCACGGAGACCCCATGGTTATGGCTCCCCAACCCGCCCCTTCACCAGCTCCAGCAGTTCATCGATGGGGTAGGTGTTCCTCGCCCTTCTAATTCCCCCAAAATGATGGATTTAGCGAAGTCAGATGCAACCACAGGCCCTTGTTGTTCTGGCTGTGGTTGGGGGGGAGAGCTAAGATGGAATTCTTGACTTAAAACTTAATTCTGACCCATCTTCTTTTGAACTGACTTCTGTTATTGCAGCCTTTCAGACATGATATAAAAGTGAAAATTCATCTTACTGTGTTTATAGACATGAAAAAGCGTGTTCCCAGTTCTGAAAATGTGCGGTGACTTAGGTTACATCTTACAAACGCAAGGGTTTGTATCCGGAGCAGAGACCAGATTTCATGACTATAACCGGAAATCTCAGACACAGATGAATCACATAACACATCACTTCAGCCACAAGAGTAGCCTACAGTTAGCATTTATCCTACGGTTAGTATTTATCTCGGAATGCTTACAGAAATCTAGGCAAGCTGGAGGAGCCCTCCGGTCTCTTCCTGTGTGGGGTGCAATGGTCCAGCTCAGACTCCAGCCAAAAGACCAACGAGCACCTTTTGTTCTCTGAGGGGGGTGGGAAGGGTATGGGAAACGAGGATCCGGCCGGCCACGAAGATTCAAGGGAGAAAAATGAGTCACCGGCTACCAGGAAACACCAGGCGCTCTCTAAATGGAGCGGAATCCTGTGCTGGGGTGGGGCGAATGATACCGGAGCTGCGGGAGAGACCCTCCAGCAATTCAGCAAAGGAACAAATCCAAAGCCACATGAGCTTCGGGTGGCATCTATTCCAGGGGCCTTAGTGACTTCCCCCGGCAGCTGCCCCCAGTGTCCATCATGGGCAGCATCATCTACTTAAATATGTGAAGAATGTTTCCACTGTTCAGACCATGTCCAAAACGGCTCTGAATGAGGAGGCTGCTCATGCAGTCTGCACATGCGCCTCCAACCAGCAGCCCTGGAATGCTAACCTCTGACCTCGACAGGAAGAGATAAGGCCCCTGCTGCTCTCTGAAGGTCCTGATCTATAGCCTGGGGAGATTTTAAGCACACTTTGCTAGTTCCAGAACCCTGGAGCATCATGGAAATGGATTCCCTTTTGATGTACCATGCATCTTTAATTAACTTGGTTTATTACTTTTAAATCATCCTTACACTAAAATCTCTTCATTTTGTTTGGCTCTTCTTTAGTGTTTCTAAATTAGTCTTCTTTTAATAGACCTCTAAAAACGTTGACAGTTTACGTGTATAAAGATTAGCAAGGAGACACCATGATGAACTGGCATGGCCTTACCCATTTCTTCAAGCATTCTGCCACATTGGTTCTGCTCCTGTCCAATTCTTTTTCTAGGTATACTAAAGTGAAACCCAAATGTTACATCAGGTCATCTCTAAGTGACTTGAAACTCACTGTTCGCACACACAGATTCTTTTAACCTAACAATATTGCTACCATATGTAACAATGATTTTTTGGTATCATAAAATACCCAGCATTCCACTCGCTTTTAAACTATTAGAGGAGGGTAGCCATGGCACTCATGTGGAGGTCAGAGGACACCTTATAGGAGTCAGTTTCCTCCTTCACCGTGTGGGTCATGGGGATGGGACTCGGGACACCAGGCTTCTGCTGAACATCCCGCCGAGCCTCCACTCACTCTGCTTGTCTGATGTGTTCTTTCCAGGTGGGTTGAGATCCACATGAGGTCTACGCACAGGCATTAGTTCCTGTCTTTGGCCATGCTGTTCACTTGCTAAAAGAATCGGGTCATCGGTGGTACTACGGAGTTTCCCGCATTTCAGACTGCCTTACTGCATTCTTGTGGTGTTTTCGCCAAGGACCCTCATTCCTTTCAATTGAGAAATGGACTTAGAGACCACAGTCTCTGGTCAAGGGGTATTCCTTGTCCCTAAATTGTCATTGTTTATAGTTTTTTGTTTTGTTTTGTTTTCAGAATAAACAGTTGGAAAATTTCTGTGCAATGGAAAATGAGAAACAAGGACTTTCTGTCTTAACGTGTTTAAAAGCTTGGTTTGCCTGATAGTGACATAGATATTTACTAATTTTAGTTTATCACACATCTGTTGTTTTATAAATCCCAGAATTCATGTTACTTACAATGAAAGTTTTGAACACGATGTGCTGGTTGGGCTCCTGTCAACTTGACACAAATTAGGGTCATCTGGGAAGAGAGACCTCAATTGAGACATTTTCTCTGGACGATTGGCCTGTAGGAGAGTCTGTGGAGAATTTTTTTATTATTAATGATTGACACAGAGAGCACCCACCCACTGTAGGTGGTGACACCCCTGGGCAAGTGGTCCTGGGTTGTCTAAGAAAGCAGGTTGAGTAAGTCATGAGGAGTGAGCCAGTACACAGCGCTCGCCCATGGCCTCTCCTTCAGTTCCTGCCTAGAGTTCCTGCCCTGAGTGCCCCTCACAATGAACTGTAAGCTATGAGGTAAAATGAATCCCCCAGGCCAGCACAAGGTGTTTTTGATCATGATGTTTATCACAGCCTAGAAATCTAACTTGAACTCAGGGTAAGATTTCTTTGCAGGAGTTCTGTAGAGACACTATCTTCTCTTAGGCATCGAGGGATGTTAATTACAGTGATTTCTTTTTTTTGGTTCCTGTCCTGGATCTCGCTCTGTAGACCAGGCTGGCCTCGAACTCACAGAGATCTGCCTGCCTCTGCCTCCCGAGTGTTGGGATTAAAGGCGTGCGCCACCACCGCCCAGGTAGTGATCTCTTTCATAATAATGTTTTCTTTCATTCTTGTTTCTGTTTTTACTTTTCAGACTTCTTTAAATATACACTGAAACCTGGCTGTGTTTCAAAGGCAAAAGATACTAACACATCAGTGTTAATAATAGGGAGATAAGTGCAAAAATCAAAGTGACTGAGTAACAGTCCCAAGGTGTCGTGTTTATATTAGAAACATCACTGTGACCTTGGTTTTTCTCTTAATAAAGAGAACTTCTTGTCTGTTTTACGATGCTGTGGATCAAATTCATAAACCTGTTCACACCAGGCAAACAGTACGCTACTGAGCTGGAGCCCCAGACCCAGAGCAGCTGTTGAGACAGCATATGCATTACACTGGGTATAAGTAATCTGGGGAGGACTCAGGGTGTACAAGAGGGTATGGCTGGGTGACACGCAAGCACCATGTCATTTGATATGAGAAACTTGAGCATCCACAGACAGACCTGAGAACTAAACCCCTGCAGATACCAAAGGATGACTCTAAAATCATGAAATTAGTATGAGTTCTGACTGGATTGCCCAAGCATCTCAGAACTGACCTTTTGGTGTCTACTGGGAATAATGCTATTTATCACCTTTGTTGTAAGCAAGGCAAGAAGGTGTGGGCGCTTAGTTAGGAAGAAGGGGTAACTTATTTCTCGACAGCTGGTGTCTTGTTAGAAGTTCACATCCAAGCCGGGTGGTGGTGGCACATGCCCTTAATCCCAGCACTCAGGAGGCAGAGGCAGGATCTCCGAGTTCCCAGACAGCCAGGGCTGTTACACAGAGAAACCCTGTCTCAAAAAAAAAAAAAAAAAACTCACACACACACAAAACCAAAACCAAGCAAAAAGTTAACATCCCAAAAGAACATTCTTGCTGGTGGTGTTATTGGAAAATGGGTCTATGAACCATACTCAACATCAAAGGAAGATGCCCATCTTCGCCATTTGGAGTTTGGATGTATATGAAGCCTCAAGTGACTGGATTTCAAGTTCCTGGACTTGGGAGGGTTTTTCCTCCAGTCTGGGAAGCAGTTTGCCTAGAGACAGTTGAATAATTTCAGGGCACTTCTCCAAATAAGAGGGAGAAAAGCTTGAAGACACAGCCAGGTCACAGCTAGGCAAAGGCCAGCCACACAGGATGAGTGCTGAGGGGATGCCATCAGTAGAGAGAGTAGGATTCTGAAGGGGCAACAAGTTCCAAATAGACAGAACACTAAAGGGTATGTGTGAGTGTGTGTGTGTGTGTGTGTGTGTGTGTGTGTGTGTGTTTGGATTATGGCTAAATATTTTATTTTGTTTATATTTTTCTCCATTTTAAGTTATACTTACTAGTTGTACTGAGTGGCTTTGTGTATCAATTTGACACAAGCTAGAGTCATCAAAGGAAGGAGCCTCAGCTGAGGAAATACCTCGATGAGATCCAGCTGTAAGGCATTTTCTCATTTAGTGATCAGCGGGGGAGGGCCCAGCCCATGGTGGGTGGTGCCGTCCCTGTGTAGCTAGAGTTTTCCTGCCTGGCCCACAGTCAGGACAAATCTCTCTCACCCGCCAGTCCCACAGCCACTCAGACCCAACCAAGTAAACAGAGAGACTTATATTGCTTACAAACTGTATGGCCGTGGCAGGCTTCTTGCTAACTGTTCTTATAGCTTAAATTAATCCATTTCTATAAATCTATACCTTGCCACGTGGCTCGTGGCTTACCAGCATCTTCACATGCTGCTTGTCATGGTGGTGGCTGGCAGTGACTCTCCCACTCAGTCTTCCACTTCCCAGAATTCTCTCTCCTTGTCCCGCCTATACTTCCTGCCTAGCCACTGGCCATTCAGTGTTTTATTTATACAGAACGATATCCACAGCATCCCTGGGCTGCTGCTCCTGGGTTCTATAGGAAATGGGCTAGCAAGCTAGTAAGCAGCACCATCCATGGCCTCTGCATCAGCTCCTGCCTCTGGGATCCTGCCCTATTTGAGTTCCTGTCCTGACTTCCTTCAGTGATGAACAGCAATGCGGAATGTAAGCCAAATAAACCCTTTCCTCCCCAACTTGCTTTTTGGTCATGGTGTTTCGTCCCAGCAATAAAAGCCCTAACTAAGACACTAGTATCCCATAAAGAGCATATTTAGCCTTTGTAACAACAATGAAACCAGGAAATACGCTGTTACTTTTGACCCTCAAAGGATTTTGATGATAAGGGAAGTCCTCTTAATATGGACCATGGTGTGAGCTTTCAATCTATATTTAGCAAGAGGGGTCTGCCAATCAGAAATGAACAGTAACAAGGAAAAAAGGTAGAGAAACACAATAGAAGATCAAGTATAGGAAAGAACTATGGCACTGTGAAATAGTTCCAAATAAACTAGACTACTGAAAATGAGAAACAGCCCAGTAAGTCTGTGCTCCTTGTTGGGACAAAAGAGGTTAACACAGCAGCAGAGAATGGAGCTGAGCCTCTCCACAGAGAGCGCTTCCTACAGGGCTGAACAGGGCAGCTGGGATCCAACCAGCCCCTGGCTGGGCCCTACAGAGCGAGAGTAACAAAGTCACATGTCCTGGACTTTGGATGGGGTTGTCCTGGTAAGCCCACAGTAGGATGAAAATACATTCCTTACACCTACCCTGCAGAACACAACAGTTTAGCAATGGTGCATCATTCCCTCTGGGACTGTCCGGCTGACTGGGAGTCACTGTTGCTACCCAGCATCAGGAGAATTACTAGCATAAATAATTACCCCAGCCCAGAAAAAGATCAAAACTGAAGTTTGGTTTCTATTGAATAGTGGTGTTTTCACAACATTGTAAAGTAAATCAAAACAAAAACAAACAAACAAACAAAAACCTTGGAAGTCAACCCCTCAGGAGTCTCTGTGGTGTATAGGGTGCAGGAGGTATGCATCAGGTCACCCCAGGGTGGCGGCTCAAAGTTAGGCATGAAAAGAGTTGAGTCCATTGTCCTTCAGTATTCATGGGGGACTGATTTCTGAGCATGTGTGTGTGCTGGAACAGGCACACACACACACACACACACACACACACACACACACACACACACCATAAACACCAAACTCTGTAGATGCTCAAGTCCCTTACATAAAATGGCATAGTGTTTACATATAGTTTACATATACTTCCTGTTCATTTTTCTAGTCATCTCTAGGGCCCATGGCCTATGCAGTGTCAGGTTCTTGACCTCACTGATAGTGCCATGGACCCTAGGGAAGAACCTACCACTATTATTCTGCTAGACAGACACAGTAATAAAATGACTCCTAGTAACCCATCTGTCCCATCTGTACATTGCTCATCCTCATCAGAGATGCTTCTTGCAATAGATGGTAACTAACAAGAGACTCACCCCTGGTCAGTGTACAGAGAGCAAGGGACTTCAGAGTGCTCATTCCTAAATGGGATATTTGTATCATAGCCCTCTCTTTAGAGCTCAGGCATCTATGGAAGAGGGAGGCAGTAAGATTGTAAGAGCCAAAGGTGGTGGATGACTTCAGAGAGGCAGTGTTTTCTGGAAGCAACAAGGCAGATGTGCGTATGAACTCACAGAGACTGTGTCAGCATGCACATGACCTGCAAAGGCTCAAGCCAGACAAAATACCAGTATGGGGAAGGGGAGGTAGGCATGAAGTCCCACTCCTAGTCAAGGAGTTCTTTACAATTGCTAGCTGCTGGGAGAGGAGAGTCACAATGGAGGGACACCAGGTATACCAACCACACGCCTGGGCAGCTCCCATGCTCAGGAGTAATTGGCCAACACAATTGGACTTCATGTGGGTGTTGTTTCTTGTTTGTCTGTTTGTTGTTTTGTTTGTGTGTGTGTGTGTGTGTGTGTGTGTGTGTGTGTGTGTGTGTGTGTGTGTTTTGATAGAGAACATGAGATCGGGTAGTTAGGGAGATGGGGGAGGATCTGGGAGGAGTTGGGAAAGGGATGAATATGATCACTGTATATTATATCAAACATTCAAGGAATAAATAAGATATAAAAACAGATAATGACAATAAATATGTCTCTCTGTACACCTTTAGTACAGTTACTTTTTCAGGTGTTTTTGATCTGTAATTGGTTAAATGTGGGGAGGTGGAATTCACAGATACTGAGAACTGACTGTGTTTGTACTACAGAAATCAGTAAAACATTATAAATCGGGACTCTTTTGTTTGAAGAACCAGTTATTAAATATTTACAAGCTCCAAGACAAACCATGTA